CATCTTGCCATCTACTTTACCAAGAAAATTATGTCCATCCATCATGAGTTTCCTGTTCTCCCTTCTGCATCTCAAAACTTATACATCTTCAGCCATAATCTTTGCTCTAGTCTCAAAAGAAGGTGGCCTTTTCCTCCCCTTTTTCACTCTTTAATCGTCATTCCCAGCTCCCCCACTCCATTCATTACTTTTGTTCTTATGCCTTTCAGTTATATTCAGGTCTCGTTTATACTTTAAATTGCTTTCCCTCCCCCTAAAAAAAAAAACACTTTCTTTGATTGTCATCCACTCAAGATGACTTTCATCTCTTTTTGATTGCCAAAATTCCAGAAAGAAGTTATCAGTTCCTCATGACAGTCTCATAACTGATCTCCCTACCTCTAGTCTCTCCTCTTTCCAATATCCTTCATATGGCTGTCATAATAATCTTCCCAAGATTCAAATCTGACTGTTAACAGATCAAAATCTATAGATCCCTGTTGCCTCTATGATAAATTCTTTAACCTGGTGTTTAAGGTCCTCCACAATCTGTTTTCAACTCACCTTTACAGCTTTATTTTTTATCCCCCCTCACCCTATATCAGCCATACAAGAAGACTGTCATCAGTCTGGCATCCCTGCATTCCCAAACCATTCTTCATGCTATGTGAATATGCTGTCATCCACTGCCTTTCAGAATCTTAAGGCTTAGTACACAAATTTCCTGTAAAACCTTTTCTAATTCCTCTCAGCTAAAGAAAACATTCACTTAGATGTTTTTATGAGCCCTCATCACTCTCTACTTTGATTATATTTCTGTGTACATTTTGCATTTTTCCATCCCACTCTTACAAATTTAATTGCTGTGCTTGACAGTAAGGACTATCTCATTTTAATGTTTTTATTATTTAATTGTATATTTATATGCTCTGCATATAATAGTTAATTTTTATGGGATCAAATTAAGTTCTTTCACTTGTTCAGGTTGCCCACAGTGCCTTACAGAACTGATGTTCAACAGATATTTGCTAACTACTATTCAAGTAATCAGTACAAAGATGTTATTTAATTAATATGATTACTCCCTTTACCTACACCTGTACAAAACAAATTTAATTTTTCTGTGATGCCTAATTTTCTTCTAATTTTTAGATATAGTTGGTCTATTATGGGGACAGTGCAAGATTGCATTTTCTTTGAGAGTAGATAGTTTCTTTAAGCAGTCTTAGCTGCCTATATTAAGAGTGACAAGGTTGCCTTTCCAATCTGAATCCCAGGCACTTGCTGTCAGAATTGTGTTTTGGAATACATCTATTGTTAAGGAATTATGTTAATACTTGTTTTCTTTTTGGACATTAGAAACAAACTGAATTCATTTGTACCTAAGCATTGACCCCATTTCTCTAACTTAGGGAGTAGAGAACTTTTTTTTTGGTCCCCATATATTTCCTCCAAACAAGAAGATAACTGCACTCTAAGAAAAATTAGAAAATAAAGGCAGTGTTGGTACCCACCTTCACCCCCATTTAAGCTGTTAGCAAGGCTATTTCTTTCTATCCCTACCACTAGCACAGTACCTGGCACATACCACACACTAAGTAAATGTTTGTAGGCTTTGTCTGGGAGAAAAAGGACACTGGATCTGGAATCAAAGAACCCTGGTTTGAAGCCCAGTCCTGTTACTTGCTACTGTGAAACCCTGGACAAGTCAGGACATTTCATCTGTAAAATTGAGGAAGTTAGATTAGATGGCCTCTAAGCTTCCAGTTTTAAGCCTATGAATTTATGAATGATTCCTAATTAGTATGTTAATTTTAATTCAGCCTCATTCTGTTCAGCTTGTATCACTACACTGATGACTAGCCCTAGTCTCTCTTCTGAACTCCGAATCTATATCACACTTTCTATTAGGCATTGCAAAACTCAGCATGACCATATCAACTTAGAGGATCACACATAAGATTTAGAGCTAGACTTACTTCCCCCTCCCACTCCCATTCTCTTTTCTTCCTGGTTTCCCTTTTCCTTCAGGGGGCACTACCATCCTTCTAATCACTCATGTTTATAACCTGGGCATCATCTTGACTTGTTCCTTTTGCCCTTCCTATCCAGTCAGTTGCCAAGTCTTGTTGACTATCTCCAAAATATCCCTCAAATCCCTCAAGGTGTTCCATTGTTACTCTCTTGCCTCTAGAATAAAAATATCAATTCTTGTGTTTGGCCTCTTAAGCCCTTTGCAGTCTAGCTCCAGGCAACTTTTTCTGGCTTACTGCATTAGTCACCAAATACTTTATATTTCAGTTCAGTTGACTTACTTGCCGTTGCCAAAACAATTACCTATCTCCATCTCTATGGTTTTGCACAGATTGTCCTTAATGTTCTCCTTACTTCACTGTAGAATTTCTAGCTTCTTTAAAAAAAAACTCAGTTCTTAACAACCTTCTACAGGAAGCCTATCCTATTTCCCTCCACTTGTTAATGCCCTTCCCCCGAAAAACTACTTAACTAAGTTAGTATATATTCTGTATGTTGTGTCTTTCCTCTTCCCATACCTCCCCTCATATAAGGTAAGCTTTTTTTACTCTTGAATTTTTAGAGCATACCACAGTGCCTGAAACAGTAGGCAATTGGTATTGGTTAACTTGATTGACCTCACATTCAACTTAGATGACCTTGGGTTTCTGTGGTGGAAAAATTCATCACTGTGTTCATCACCGAGTGACCAACCTAGCCTCTCTGAATTTTGACTGCTTCTTGGAGAGTTTTTCCCAATCTGTCCATGTTACCAGATCTTCCAACTCTTCCAACATAGCCTTTCAAAACCTAGCATCACCTGTAAACTTCAGTGAAGAACCAAAATAGAACATTAGTGAAAGTGTTAAGGGCAAAAATATCTGGGGATTTAAAAGGTCCTTTTTGTATGGGGGGAGACAACACGCAAACAAACGTGTACAAACAAGCTACATACAGGATAAATTGCAAAGAATCAACCCTAGAAGTGAGGGGGACAGGAAAGGGCTTCTTGTAGAAGATGTGATTTTAACCGTTCTGAAGCAAGCTAAGGAAGCCCATGGAGTGGAGATGAAGAAGAGGTTTTCAATAATGGGGAACAGCTAGTAAAAATGTTAGGAGTTAGGAGTTGGAGTGTCTTAGTTTAAGGAAGAGCAAAGAAGAGCTTTGGGAGAAGGGGGAAAATGGGCTGGGGCAAGGTAATTAAGACCTTTTCTTTCAAAACTAAGATATCTGATTAACTGATTTCAGTTAAAGGAAACAGGAAATAATAGGATATTTACTCCTTTTAGTGGATACTTTTAGTGTGGTTAAAAGCCAAAGGAATCCTATGGAGATTTTGGAAAGTAGACCACTGTGACTTTCCTTAAGTTTAGGCTTGACTATGTTACTCCCCTCAAAGTGCTCCATGGTTAACCCTCTTGCCCCTAGAATTTGAGTCACCTTCAGTGACCCAATTTGGGATTTTTTTGGCAAAAATACTGGAGTGGTTTGCCATTTCCTTCTCCAGCTCATTTTAGGATTGAGGAACTTAGGCAAACAGGGTTGAGTCACCCAGCTAGTAACTATCTCAGGACAGATAGGAACTCAGGAAGATGTCTTCCAGATTTCAAGCCTGGCACTACCCACTGCTTTACCTATCAATTCTCTAAGGCTGTTTCTAAAAGGTTTTGATTCTTATCACCTCTTCAACTTTAAACCTTCTACAATATATTTGTCGGCCTGCGGAAGAACTTTTAAGGTGGATTTCCCGTCATTCAAATCTTACGTAGATTTTTCTCAAAACAAACTGCTTCAAACACCTGCACACAGAACCAGTTCTTACCCAAACCAGACAACTCTTCGCTACTCTCTATTCAGCTTCAAGACACCTCTTCCACCCATATTTTATCAGTCTCTATTATACCAAGTTGTCTCTGTTGTGCCTTAAGTTATTTTTGGAGAGGTCCCCAGGGAGGAGCCTATCAGATTTTTAGTCACTGGTCTATTGACTTTACTCAGTAGTCACAGCCAACAAATTTTCAATAAAATTCAATTTTATTTTATTTTCACTTCCAAGTTCTCTCCCTGCCACCTCCCTATCCTCCACCTATTGAGAAGGTAAGAAAAACAAAACCATGCACAGTCAAGCAAAACAAATCACCGCGTTAAACATGTCCAAAAAAAAAAACCCTTAAAAAAAAGTCCTCCAATCTGCACTTCTACCTGGAGACGGATATCATGCTTCACCATATGAGTCACGTGAAAATGTGGTTGGTCATTACCAACAAGAATTTATTAAAGGTTTACCACGAGCGCTAAGAAAAGCAATGCCTGCCGGGCCCCTGCCCTGCAGGTGGCTACATTCTAATGGGGGAGACAAGCCATTGAGCAAAAAGTGTTTCCTTCCCCCTAGAGTGGTTAAAAACCGTGCCAAGACTCGGGAGACGATGCACTCTCCAAACGCTCATATTTCAAAACTGAAGGTCTGCGTGTGAAAACGCCCTTCGAGAAGCTGGTCGTTAAGGGCTTCTTGCCCTCCAGCCTGGAATGCTTCGGCTTCCCCACCTGCCAGGGCCCTCTTCTGGGGTAACGAATCGCAGCCCCACAGCTGCCAGCCAGGACCTGCGCCACGTGACCCACAGGCTGGGGAAGCGACGGCGGTACAGCCCCACCCCCACCGCTGGAAATTTACGAAACTGCAGCCTCTTTCCATCTCCTCCCCACACCTCGACCCCAGCTGCTTTGCATCTCCACCCCTCCCGGCTGCCCCAGGTTGCATTTGGTGAATTTCTTTTGAAGGCGCGTGTACACATTTTCACTTCCGTTCTGTTCCAAATAATTCCTCTCGGGTTCGGAAAGGACGCTACACCATGGGCCGCGGTGCGGTACAATTATATCTGGCAAGCCCCGGCGCACTCCGCGACGGGCAGGGGGCGGGGCCAAGGAGTAGGGGCGGGGCCCGGTGGTGGGGACGGGAGGAATAGAGAAGGACTCAGGGGCGGGGCCAAGCGTCCGGGGCGGGGCCAGGCCTCGGGCCTCCTCTTGATGGGTAGCGGCGTAGAGCCTTCTTGCGTCTCCTTCGGATTCTGGCTCGCGCCTCTTCCGGGTGATGGGGGAGTCAGGAAGGCCGGTTGCGTCTGGGCCCCAGCTGGATGAGGTAAACACGGCGTCCCCGGCCCGCCTCCCTCCCTCTCTACTCCCTGCCTCAGAAGTTGGAGGGGAGCGCCTCCTGGCCACTCTCCGCCTCAGGCCTCTTTGTTCCTGCGGGGCCTTCCCTGCACCTGCTGGGGTTTCCGACGGGAGGGGAGAAGACGCAGGGGATAGGCCGTCCCCCTCCTCTTCGTCACCCCTTCCCGGAATGTCATTTGGGGAGCTTGAGTCTTGGGCCTCCGAAACGGCCAGGGCAGAAATGCCCCCTCTCCCACCTCCCCGGAGAAGAATAATTGTGACTCCTTAAGCTCTTTAAACGCTGGCTGGAGGAGAGTCTGGCTGGAGGGCGCCTCGGATTCGGGAAGACCGCTCGGGTCAGCTGCTCCCCTTGACCCGGGCAAGGCCTGCAGCCAGCCCTCTCCTGCCACTTCTAGCCTCTGGGGCTCCCTCGGTCCTGATTAATAAGAAATTGGAGTGAATTCAACAAATGTCTGTTAAGTAAGGACCTACTAGGTGCCATATACTTAGATCAGTGGTGATCTAAGCTTGCACCTCTGCTTTGCTAAAGAAAATCTCCTCACTGGGAGTGCCTCCCATGCCAATCCTGGCCAAAGTTGTTGCGATCTGCCGATAAAAAAAAAACAGCAACAAAACGAAAACAGAAAAATAAGCAGGTCCTGCTAACCAAGGAGTTTTTAGTTTTGGTGGGTTTGTGATTCAAGCCGAGAATAACTGGGATGAGAGACCTTTTCTCCTCCTATTGAATTTTCATTGTTTTTTTTTCTGATTAGCAAGCACTCCCTCTATCTCCCACAGTAAAAAGGAACGAAAAAAGAAAACCATTATAACAAATATGCACAGTCAAACAAAACAAATTCTCACATTGGCACGTGTCCCAAAATGTGTATCTCATTCTGCTTTTTGAGTCTTTTCACTTCTGGCAGGAGGTGGGTGTCAGTCCTCTGAAATTTTGGTTTATCATTGTATTTATCTTTGTTCTTTAGTCTTTCAAAGTTTTTTTTCCCCTTTAATAATATCATTGTATAAGTTCTGATTCTACTCTTTGGAGAAGACCTGCATTGAAGTTCTGCCTTTGACAGGTGTAGGCTAGGTAACCCTGAGCAAGCCCCTTTTTGCTGTGCACTCTAAAAGACTGCAGGACATTCCCTCATATGGAGTTGCCCATACAAGTGAAAATCCCTGTGCTGACTAAATATGTCAAGTTCTAGGGATACAAAGACAAAAGAATAAAATAGTCCCTGCCACTGAGAAATTTTTGTTTTAATGGATTTGTATTTCAAGCCATGAATAACAGATAGAAGAAGATAAAGATTTTACAGTCGCAGGATTTACTACTGGAAAGTCCCTCAGAGCCTCTGAGTCAGAAGCAGCAAACAGTTCAAAGCCTACTAAAACTCCCGAGTGCTGCCAGAACTAGATTAAAATTTAATTAGGAGATATTTAACAGAATAAATAAAAATGCAACATAAATGATGTTAATTTGTGGTTTTCAAAGTCAATGTGTGGTTGCTACCACTGTCTAAGTAAGTATCTTGCACCTAGAAGACAGTTAATTGATGTTTGTGAAATTCATTCTAATTTTTTATAAGTAAGGGCAATGGGAGGTTAAGTGATTTGTCTAAAATTACCCAGAAGCTGACAGTGACAGAGTTGCGACCAAATCCCTAAATGCCAAATTCCTTGCTTTTTGCATTACATGTGTACTGTGCTGCATTTTCCTTACTGCAAAGGAAGATTCAGTGAGGAAAGGAGAGGTCTTGAATTTGATTTTTCATTAGTCTACTAGCAGTTTATCTCTGCTTTTAAAGTAATTGGAGAACACATTATTTTGGTATTTGTTGCTGTCATGTCATGGAAAAAAAATCCAAAAAGTATTGTATTTAATTGTAACAAATGACTTTTCTAGATTGGCTGTCCCACCATGCTGTTTATTTTATAAGCATTGTAGGAAGGAAATAATCAGCAATTATGTAGCAACTACTACTTAGGCACTGTGGGAAATTGGGTAATTAAAGAATTTCAGAACTTGGAGGAGTCTTTTGAAGTCTAGTCAAACCAGGTCAAAGAGGTACTGACCAATATCATGGACAATCGATTTTTTTAGAGCTGGAAGGACTTAAAGGTTATCTAGTCCATCCATTTCCCTGCTCTTACACATAAAGAAACTGAGATCCAGAGATTAGCAACCTGGATAGGGTCACACAAGTAGTGGCAGGATCAAATCTTTTGATTATAGCTCCAGGAAAAGTCATATAAATATACCGTTTAAGAGGATTCCTTAACTTTCCGTTCCATACTTTTCCCACTGTACTAAGGTGGGAAACATTTTTCCATTATTTTTTCTTCTACTGTCATTACTTAACACTTTTCATCCAAAAGTGGGCTAGATTTGAGCAAAAAACTTGGCTTTAGTTCCTTTAGCCTTAAATTTAGCTGTGTATACATTTAGTAAGATGCTAAGTTTAAGTTTATGGTTTTAATACTGATTTTTATTGTTTTGTTTTTTAGTATGTATACCTTAGAAAATGTTTTTTTTCCTACATTGGCTAAATGCGTGTGAATGAATACTTAGTTCCCAAAGTCCAAACTAACCTTTTCTTGTGATTTCCTTCTTTTTATTAGAGGTATCACCATTGTTACATTCAGTCTAGAAATGTGTCATCCTTGATTATTCCTTCTCTCCTGTTCTTCAAATCTTATTGGTTCTCCAACCACAATGTAGTAGATTGTTCTATCTTTTAATTTCCATTGTAGTTCAGGCTTTCATATTTTCCTCAAGACTACTGCAGTAATCAAGCACCTGACTTTCCTACCTCCAATTTAATCTTTTTACCCCTCGTGCCTCTTTTAAAATAAATTTTTATTGATATCTTTTGTCTTTCACATCACCAAAATTTCTGCTAGTATCCTTCTTCCTATCTCTGTCTCACCTCACCCCAAGAGCCATTCCATATAATGAGTAACATTTTGTAAAGAAAGAAAAAGAGGAAAAGACAAAATAAGTCAGCAAAATTGATCACTACACAGAGAAGAATCTGAAAATATATGTAACATACGACTTCCATGATCTTACTTCTGCAAAGGAGTTGGGTGGAGGTGTCTTTTCATAATTCTTCTTCCATGCTTGCTCTATAATTTTGCAATATTTACTTTGTTTTGTGGCTTTTCCTTCCATTTAAATTCTTGTAGTAATTTTGTATATTGTATTCTTGGCTCTACTTCACTCTCCCTGTCCCAACTTAATCTTAAATACAGCCCTGCTTCATAAAGTGTTTGACAGTTCGGGTCTAGGCCACTGTAGTTCATTAAGTGTTCAACACCACACTAAACAAGCATTGTATGTCATGTTTAAGGCACTGATCTAGGCCATGGATATAAAAATTAATAAGATGTCTTTCCCTGAAAAGCTTATAATTTTTTAGGCAAGATAATCAAGGTATATAGTTACAATACTATAAATAAATAAATGATTATATATTATATAGCATATGATGATATTTCTATGACATAATATGCTTTATATCATATACATATAATATATATTAATAAATAAAAATAAATAACGCAATAAGTGTATAGGAAAGCTAGGAACAAAATAATGGGAAAAATCACTAGTAACTAAGGGTCAGGAATGCTTTGTGAAGGATAGAGCACCTGGGGTAGACCTTGAAGGATGGAGGAAGGATTCCTACAAGGAATGAGGGTTGCAAAAGGAAGGAGTACATTTTAGGCCACGGTGAAGTGACCAAAACCAAGACAATAGAAGAAGATAGGAGGAGTTCAGGAGTGTTGAGAGATGGAAGGGTAGTTTGAATCCTGACTGAAAAGCCTTGGATAACAGTTTAAGGAGTCTGGACTTTATTCAGCAGGCTATTGGGAGCCATTGATGGTTTTTGGACAGTCTCCCTTCCTGGAAGCAATGCCTCTCTTAAGGCAGCCCTGAGTTTTCAGATTTACTACCACGTGATAGTGCCTCTCCTATGTTTTCCTTATAAAAAGTTTATTTTTAGGTACTCAGGTATAAGACTTTGTATTTATTCCTATTGAATTTAATCTTAATAGAATTTTGCCCAATACTCTAGCTCAGCACTTTTTAAAGTGTGGGTCTTTACCTCATATGGGATTGAGAAAAATTTGGCAACAGTAAAAGGTTTCTGAATGTGCAACGACCAAAAGTTAATTAAAAATCAAATGCGTAATGAATCAGATGTTTCTCACAGCACTTGCCATGTAGCGTTGTGCAACTTCCCTACAGCCTTGGTTCTGAAAACAGAGCATATGCACTTTGCGTGCTCTCAGACCACACAATGCCAAGGAACACTGTCAAAGCAGAAAAGGGATCAAAAGTAGAAAAAGTTTAAGAAGCTCTGCTCTAACATGTCAAAATCTTTTTTGGATCCTGAATGTATTATCCATTGTGTTAACTATCCCTCCAATTGTCATCTTCAGATTTGGTGAGCATGTCATCTGTACCTTTATTAATAAATTATTAATAAAAATGTTTAACAACCCTGGCTCAAGCCCGGATATCTGGGACCAGTAGAAGTCACCATTCCATATAACAAGTAACATTTTTTTAAAGAAAGTGACTGATGACTTCTTACTGAAATGACATTGAACCATTAATAGCTATTCTTTGAGTCCAGCATCCATTTGGTTCCAAATTCATTGTTCAGAACTTTTTCATCTCTGTCTCTTTTTCACAGGAATAATATGAGATATTTTTATTAAAAGTATTTCTAAAATCTAGGTAAATAAATGATATTCATGTTAGTCTTCTCATAGGCTAGTTGAGTCATCTTGTAAAAAAAGTAAAATGAGATTAGTATGGCATGACCTGATCTTGATGAAGCCAGCCATTTCTTTAAATGATCCATGCTAGTATTTTATCAAGAATCGAAATCAAGCTCACTGGCCCATAGTTTGTGGGTTCTATTCTCTTCCCGTTTTTGAAAATCAGGACATTTGCCCTTCTCCAGTCTTGTCATATCTCTCCTATTTTCCACAGTCTTTTAATTATTACTGATAGTGTCTCACTAATCACACCTGTTACTTATGAATATATCTACTCTACAGGTATTCATGCTTTTGCTCTCCTTGTATTAATCTGGGTACATTTTGTGACCCTTCAGTAGAATATAACCTCCTGAGATTGTTTTATTTTTGTTTGTGTACCCCCATCCCTTGTAGAATACTACCTGCTGTATAATATGTACATAATAAATATCTATTTAATTATTGCCTACCCTATTTTATATACTCTTCATAGTCATGAACCGAATCTATAGTGGCAAAATAGCTTGGTCAAGGCAAAGTTGTTTTTGGTGAAGCTGGTTTAGTAAATTTTGCTAATCCCTCTGCTCAGACCATTAGATTGAAAGGGGGAAAAAAACTTTGTTAAGCACTTAATATGACAAGCACTAGAGAATACAAATTAAAAAAAAAAAGTCCCTGCCTCAAGGAGCTCACCCTCTTAAACTACACTTTTAGAGAGGTCCATGAAAATGCCTGGAGATCCTAAGGTGACTGTTTGACCCGGAAGGGAGAGTGAAAGGGAGTAATCCACTACCATTGAGGAAATGGGACTACGGGTCATTGGAGTTGTGATTCTGGCTTCTAGGTGGAGGAAACATGATATAAGTAGATATCACTACAACAGTCAGGAGTGGAAGGTTGGAGGTGGATTCAAGGGAACTGTGTATTGGAACTGTACCCTGGTCACCACATCAGTCAGTTATTAAGCACCCACTGTGTGCCAGGCACTGTGCTGAGCCATGGGGATACAAAGATAGGCAACAGCCCCTGCCCTGGAGGAGCTCAAAACCTAATGGGGAAGACAAAATGCAAACAACTATGTAGAAACAAAGTATAGTCAGGATAAATAGGAAATAATTGACAGAAGGAAGGCACTAAAATTAAGAGGGATCAGAAAAAGGCTTCTTGTAGAAGGTAGGATTTTTGTTGGGACTTGAAGGAAGCCAGGAGATAGAGATGAGAAAGCATAGTGTTCTGGGCATGGGAAACAACCAGTGAAAATTCCTGGAGCTGAAGGATGGAGTGTTTTGTTTAAAGAACAGCAAGGAAGCCAATGTTACTGTACAAAGAGTACAGGGGATTTTATATTTGATCCTGGTGGTGATAGAGAGTCACTGGAATTTTTTGGTTAGGGAGATGATAGGGTCAGACTTGTGCCAAAGGAAAAACACTTTGGCAGCTGAATGGAGGATAAGCTGGAGTGGTGAGAGGTTTGAAACAGAGAGACCCACCAGTAGACTATTGCAGTAGGCCATGTGTGAGGTGATGAGATTCTATACCAATGTCAGAGAAGAGAAGGGGATATGAGAGATATTATAAAAGTAAAATTGACAGGACTTTGCATCGGATTGGATATGGGGGGGTGCTGAAAGTTAGGATTCTAGGCTTACATCTAGGTTTTGAGCTTGGACCACTATAAGGTGGGGAGTTTGGGGAGAAAGGTAATGAGTTCAGTTTTGAACATGTTGAGTTTAAAATGTCTACAGGGCATTCAATTTAAAAGGTCCAGTAGGCTGTTGGAGATTCGAGACTGGAGGTCAGAAGGACTTACTAGCAATCCTGCCATTGTATTCTAAGAGTCACATTTTAGAAAGAATCAGGTATATTGGAGATTGTATAAACTATAGAGGATGTCGACCAAGATGGCAAAGGACCATGAGTCCATGCCACATATGAGGATCAGTTGAAGGAAATGGGAGTGTTTAGCTTGGAGAAGACCATGGTTGGGGAAGGAATGAGTATTTGAGACTTTAATGTAATAAGGGCATTAGACTTGTTTTGTTTGGTTTCATAGGGCAAAACCAGGAGTAATGGGTGGAAGTTCCAGAGAAGTAAATTTAGCACTGATATAAGAAAAAATTCAAGCTCTCTCTCATTGCCTACGATTTCAGATTTACTCCATTGTTCTTGAGAATGTATGACCTTTTCTTTGCCTAGATGCATGCCCAGATCTCTCAAGAATTACTGATTGACAACAAAATCTGATAATACCTGTGGCACTCTGTCAAAAGATCTTCAATTTTCCAAATGGTATTGTTAAAGGAATATTTTTAAATGACTGTTAGAAATTTTGAAACAATTATATGAGATAAGAGTCAACTCTCTAAAACTCAGGATGAAATGACAAACCACAAGGCCTTACTTTCTGCCCTTCTACTTCATCCTAAAATATTCTGCATCTTTCCATTCTCCCTGAACTTTTTTATGAATTTGCTCTCCCCAGTTAGGATATCAACTTTGTGAAAGCAAGGGTTATGTCCCCTTTTCTTGTTATATTTCCAGCACTTTGTACAGTGCTTGGCACATAAGTACTTAATAAATCCTTTTTCATTCACATATTCATTAATAAATGACATAATGCTCCAGACCATTAATGCTTTCAATCTATTCTTTGCTGCAAGTGGCACCACGTTATATGTTGTAGGAGAGTTTGTTAATTGTTCGCTATGAAATCAGTCAATTAAATATTTTGAATGCCTACTATGTGCTTTAGTACTGTGCTCAGACCTGAAGTAACTTACTCATCCCTAACTTCCTAGCTGTGGGCTAAGATAGAAATAAAAGGCAGGTGCTAGCAATGCTTTTTAAAACAAAGTATTTGTGTTTCTTCCTTTAAAGAGATTATCATCAGATACTGCTGAAAATGGGTTGAAGCCAAGTGAAGAACCACTCCTCAGGAAGAGTTCTCGCCGATTTGTCATTTTTCCAATTCAGTATCCTGACATCTGGAAAATGTACAAACAGGCCCAGGCATCCTTCTGGACCGCTGAAGAGGTAAGTGCTCATGCTTTTGTACATGAGAGGTTAGGACAAGTTCAGAGCTCTCTACGATACCTCTTAACTGTAAAAAATACACTAAGAATGGACAATTGCTGGCACAATGCTTTAAGCTGCCCCAACTCAGTACAGTAATATCAAATACTTTGTGTTCCAGTGCTCAACTACTAAAAAAAAAAATTCTTGTTGCAAATATTCTGTCTTGTGTCAGAGTTTGCCCTGCCATGTATCACAGAATAACTTCAGTTCTTAAGTAATCTTTAGGCTATCTAGGGTCACATAACGCTATTATTTGATAAAGGGTCAGGAGATTAAATAAAAATAACAACTCAGCTCTAGCCAGAAGCACATAATGACAGTTTTGTTGACCCCAGTTTAAATTGTAAAACTTACCTTATCCTTAAGAAAAGCTGTATAGAGGGTTGTTTTTACGAATGGCCATGTAATCATGAAGGCACTTTAATCTGAGACTACATGGCTACATTCATTGTCAAGTCAAGGGTCATCCTGCTGTCTCCCCAGCCAACCCTGAGGCATTTGCTTTGAGGGACTTAGTACTCAATTTAGTTCAAGAAATATATATTGAGTGCCTACTGTGTACCAGGAAACCCTGTGCTAGATGATGATGAGGCTACATATATCAATAATAAATACGCAGTCCTGCCCTCCAGGAGCTTACAGTATAGTCTACATGACAAACTATACATAGAGAAATAAAATCGAAAGAAATGTTTGAAAATGCCTAAGGATAGAACAAGGACAATGCTTTGAAAGTTCAAAGGAAGAGCCTCTTAGTACTTGTTGAGGTAATAGAGGGGACTGTTACAGAATATGATTTGTATGGATTTGGTACCCAGCCCCTGGAAAATGGATCAAAGCCATTTAACCAGAGAACTGCAGCTGTTTTATGTGTCAAGGAGTTTAGAAGGACTCATGTAGAAGTCTCTTCAACCAAACCAAGCACACATACAACAGTTATTGTCTGTACTGTCATCTCTGAATACAAAGAATAATGCTTTAATACTTAACTGGATCTGTGATCTTTACCAGTGTGGATCCTTTCACCTCTGCAGATTGTAACCCACATATGCCTTTTAGTCCTATGTGATTCTTGTCCCTGTCAATTAGTAATGTCTCCACAGGTCAGCTCAGTGTTCTGGAAGCCTTATTCGTAGTCTTATAATTTTTCATGGATACCAGTGCAACATTTGGGCTATCTCTTTATCTTTCACTTCTGCTTTAGGACCAGCCCCAACCTCCTTCGCTTATCACACATATCTTTGATACCTCTTCTTATATGCAAGTCTTCATTGATAGCATCAGTTGCCAAGTCTTGCCAACTGCCTTCACAACATAACTCACAATTATCTCTATATTTGTACCACAGCTTCCTTAATTTGGGCCTCCCTCAACCTCTTACTAGGACTATTGTAAATGTTTTCTAATTAACTTCTTTTGGCTCTCTAAGCCATTCTGCACATAGCTGCAACATTGATAACCCTAAATCCTGACCAATATAGTTTCTATTTGGCATTAAAAACCATTTATAATTTTGCTCCAACCTATCTTTCCAGACTGATTCCATGTCACCTCCCTACCCCACTCCTATGTACAACATAATCTGTAGCTAAATTTACCCTTCTCTTGTCTTCCATGTCTTTGCAAATGCTATTCCCTTTGCCCAAAATGTTCTCCTCCTTTACCTCCTCTTTTAGAGTTGTTTCAAGAATCAACTCAAGTACTACCTATAAGACACCTTTCCTGATTCTTCCAGTTGTTACTACTTCTCCAACCCCCAGGGAGCCCCTTCCAACAGAAATTTCTTTACATTTATTTTGTATTTACCTACCTATGTGCACTTTGTTCCTCCTTCCCATCCCCCTATCCTCCAGTAGAATGTAAGCTTCTTAATGGAAAGAACTTTCTGGTGTTTGTGTTGTGTCTCAGGGCCAAGTATACGATACTTGTCAGGTTATTTATTGAATTGTGTATTGCTGCTGTCTTTCCATTGACCTTTGGGTCACTTGTGATTTTCGTTGTTCTAAAGTTGTGGTGGTCCAAGTTATGGCAACACTGGGAGAATATTGATATTATAAATGTAGGTCATTGCAGCAGAAAACAACTTTGTACTTTGAAAATACTGCTTAATTTCCCAAATGCTATCCTCCTCTGCCATTCCAGTTCTGTGACCAACTCATTGTATCTGCTCTGTGCCTGTCCAAAGTATATAAACTAATGGGCCATCTTAGTGGGCTGTCTATTCAAATGCATATCATATCTGGTCAATATGCATTCCTCATCCATTTTGTTTGTGCTATTTGGGTTGCTAGGCCAATATTTTCTGAGTGACTTACTGCTTATTGACGAGGTCCTTTGGTACAGTGTCATTTGCAAATGGGAATTATCTGGTGGCTCATTATTTATAGGGAATCCTACACAGACATCTTCTTTGACACTGGTGAGCACTTTTGGTCGGAGTATAGCTCCATATTTAATGCCTAGTCTGAAAATGATAATGAAAGAATCATTAAAGTTATCTGTGAGTACATCATGAAGGAATTTTTTGTGATCTTATAATATGCATGTGACTTTTTTTTTAGCAGAGTTTTTAAGGTTGCATTTGGCCTCCAATCAAATACTTCTTGGTAATCATCAAATAATATACAATATAATATTGCATTCTTTATACATTGCAGTCATTTGTATTATAGTGAAGATAGAGTTTGCTAGAGATTTTATCCACAAAAGTTAGCCTGTTCCTTTCTCATATTTTTATCAAGTATACCTTTCATGAGAGGATTCTCACGAAAATTTTATAGAAACTAGAAAGGCATATGTATTAAATGAGATAATGTTTAGCACGGTGTTGGCACATAGTAGGTGCCAATGTGTCTACTTTTTATGGCCAGTGAACAAAGCTGTCCTGCCCTGGTTCCCCACCCATAGAATGTAAGGTCCTTGTGAATAGGGACTAATTTGTTTTTTGTATCTCATGTCTTTGTATTTTGTCTTTGTATCTCATGGTGTCTTGCATGTAGCTTGTATGTAATAAACATTTGTTGATTTGGGGGTAATGATACAGTCTTTGATCTTTTCTTTTTTATTTATCCTTTTTTTGAAATATATTGAAAATTGATCCCTGAGTGCCTTTAAAATTGTACATCTCTTAACACAAATATCCTGTGTGTGGATTTGGTCAGGTTTAGCCATCTTGCTTAACTTTGCTTTTTTTTTTTTTTTTGAGTGACACTGAGTATTTACGTATTAGAGTTAACATGTCATAGTTACGGTGTCATTAATAATGAAAAGAAATCACTGTAGAAACACATGCAAAATTATTCTATTTCATAGCTATTTGTTGTCCTTTTTTCCAGTTTCATCCACAAATGTTCACGGTATGATTTAATTTAGCTGAGTCTCACAGAAGAAAATTCCTTACTCTGTTTTTTAGACACAAGCCTTCAAGAAACAATCTTTATTGATTTCAATTATGTTGATCTAAGCATTCCTGCTTAGAGAGGGGACCAACAATGGACAGAGCCACCCCATGACTCTAAAAATCTCTCTCACAAGCCATTTTGGAATACAGTTATAGCATTTTTTGACAATAGACAAAATTCCACAATGAAATAAAAGTTACATAACTCAAGGTAAAGTTTAATTAACATTTTGCTGTATCAAACAGAACAATAGTCACCCTAAAATCATCCAATCCTACTTTGACTTTAAAGACTTCTTCTTTCCAGCAGTCAAAGGTGAACCTGAGATATTTCCATTAACTGAAATAATGAAAGAAGCTACTTCTTTATGTTACTGTCATCTTAATCTATATCCCTTCAAGATAGATCAATCAAGGGCTCCTTGATCTTGCCTAGGGCATTATTTTGGAACTGATAGTTAAAGAAAGTCTGATAAGTTTTCTCTTTATTATTAGGTCAAAGCCTTCAGACTAGGATAATCTTAAAATGCTTTTTTAATATTTCTGAAAGAGGGAAGGGAAAGGGCTTTACTTTATATATGTGTGTATGTATGTGTATATATATACGTATATATATATATTATATATATATATATTTCTTTATAGAGGGACTTGTAGTAAGTAGGTTTTGAACTAGAAAGCTAGAAGTTATGGTTCTTATGCCCAATTGTGAATGTCTTAAATCTGCCATAATATGAATTTACACTTGTGTCCTTGCTTATACATTTATTGTATTGAAGCAGTTGTCTAGGGGAAGTAAGATTATAACCTTACTAACCATGTAATATAAAATGAGTTAAAAGCTTGTCACACCTGACTACCCAACTGTTTGTGGTTTTTTAAAAAACGTTCATTATTTGAACTAAGTGAGCTGTGGGATTGCACCCTAGCCTGAATTCACGCATACCACTTTCTCTTTAACTAGCAACAAATATATTGTAAGAGTAAAGGGATTTTGTAATTACTATCCTCTGTCAGTATTAAAAAGATATTCCTAATGTTTAGAATTCCTGAAATATTACCCTAGTTATGGCACACTGAGTATGCATTTTGTTATAACAAATAATTACTACAGTTTTAACTACCTCCAACAATGTATTTATGAAATGTGCACCATTTGAAAAATATATATTGTTGTAATTTCATCAGGCTCCTGATATTTCAGTATTTCAAAAGATCCATACTTTGTTTTGGGTACTCCCTCTAGTGGTTCAGATTACAACTCTTCTCTTCTCTGTTCTTACATGACTATAATATATGTCCTTCTGTAAATCTTGTATGGGATCTCCAGAAAGCATGCTGAGGGCCTTCCCTCTAGATCTCTTGACATTGTATGGGTGCTAATTGAATGTATGAGTTGACTATTGGTTATCCCTTTCTCTTAATGTATGGGTAGCCTACCTCCTTTTCTAATCAAGTAGCTTCTCTATGATATTTTTTTTTTGGGTACCATTTCTCTTTATTTCTTTACTGCTAATATGTTGTAGCCTGCCAGGGACATTTCAGTTGCCCTTTGAATTGCCCACAATTTTAACTATTTGGAAACTGATATTCCATGAGTTGAAGCCATATAGCACACTGAAAGAATATTATTGTTAAAAAGAGAAATTTTTGTTTCTGATTGAAGATCAGAGTCATCAAAACACTGTGCACTTTTCCAGAGGCAATCCAGCCTGCTCTCTTCCTCATGTTCAGTTCTAGACCTAGGCCATTGTCCATGTGCACTCTGTGTTCAAGATATGTATGCTGATTGTTCAGCTCTATGGAATGTCCATCCAACTCCATATCAATAGACATTCCTCTTCACATAATCTTTTTTGTTTGAGTAGTTAAATTGAACTCTATTGAGAGGTAATGAATCTCATTTAGGAGGTTCTGAAGTGTTCCATGGCTTGATACAATATGCGTGACATTAATCAAAAATAGGCATCTGGAAGACTTCACCATCTGTAGGAAATACCTTTTCCATTTGGACTCTTTGTTGGATATTCTCTAGGATGATGGCAAATACTTCTTTGGTAAGCTGATAGAAATATTTAAAATATATTTTATGAGGAAGTCACACAATTTTCTACCTAAAATATCTTACTTTCCATTTAAATGGTGTACATTAAAACTTGGTCCTATTTTTTCCTTCAAAATTTGATTGGTGATATGGATAATGGAGCTGAGAGTATAATTATCCTTTCCACGTTGCCATTTTTCTCATCGCAGTTTCAATATATTGTGGGTTGGCATAAGAAATTAAATGAGAATTTTTGGGGAGTTTTGTGGAAGCCTTCACGTGTCAACTGCAGCTTCCACAAAACTCCTAAATGATTTTCATTTAATTTCTCATGCTGATCTGCAGTATATTGAAACTACAATGTGAAAAATGGCAATGTGGAAGGGATAATTCTACTCTCAGCTCCATCATCCATATCACCAATCAAATTTTGAAGAAAAAAGCTGGACCAAGTTTTAATGTACACCATTTAAATGGAAAGTAAGATATTTTAGGCAGAAAGTTGTATGCCTCTGTTTTCTTAATAAAATAGATAGTGAAATATTTGCTTAAAAGAGAGTAGTAGAGAAAGAATTAGGAACTTGAGAAGAGGAGTTTTGGAATAGCCATTGAGGAAAGTAGAATAGAATAAATAAAAAATAATAAAAGTTTTGCCGTGTAGCAGTGAAATAGCAGTGAAAACCCAAGTGTAGATGAGATAATATGAATTTATACTGAACTTAGCCAACTCAGAGGTATGACAAATTGACTTCCTCTACTGGAATGCAGCAATATAGCAGTAGAGAGGACAGATATTACATATATGACAATAAGAAAAAAAAAGAGTACAAATATAAGAAAATCAGGAGTGGAAGACACTATGTAGTTGAATTGGTCAATAATATATAGTCAAGACTGAAGAGTGAAAAATGAGGCCAGATCAATGGGAGAGGAGAATAAAGGTTTGGTTTAGTTCAGGACAGTGAGGCAGAGAAATAAAAGAAGGATGAGATTATCAGAGAGAAAACTTTCTAAGTTAAAAATGAAAGGGGTTGAAATAGGACAATGTTCAGTAGAAAAAGTTCGGTATATTATACGTTAAGAGAACAAATGTAGACATGTCTTCCAAATACGTAGTAGGGAATAAAAAGCTGTGAAGAAGTGAAACTGAAGTGATTTGAGAACTGAAGAGGATTGTAAGTCAAACAGAAGCAATTTAGCATCAAGATATCAAAAATAGCTTGATCCTAGTACAAGGGAACAGAACATACAAAGGCAATAGTCTTTTTGGCTAAGTCTTTAATAAACTAATGTAATTTTGGCTTCTATATTATCAGAGTTAGTTTGGGAAAATTGGAGAGAGTCTAAAAATTAACAATATGATTGAAATCCTATGAAAAAAAAGTTACAGAAGTTATTTAGGGTAGCTAGAAGGAGATTGAAGCAATCAGTAACTACTCCAAATATTTGAAAGGTTTTTATTTTGAAATCTGCTTAGAAAATCATCCATAACAAAAAAAAAATTGATACCCGTAAGTGAGTTTCAAGCATTAATTTTATTTCCAATAGGTTTGTTGTGTCTTAGAGGAAACTCATCCTATAGAAATCTAAATTAAGGAACTGATTATTTTTGCGTTACCTGTGAGCTCTGGCCTTACAGGAGGAATACGAATGGAGTAATACTTTTTCTCCCACTAAAATTAACTTAGGTGAACAAACAGAACCAGAAAGCAAACCACTGCTTAAACAACAAACAAGTTTAGTTAGACATTTAAGAGACATCATTATAAAACAAAAAAAAGGTCTAGGATTTCAAAGGAAATACTTGAGATGAGGTACTACAAAATTGAATTAGAAGAATTTTCCTTTCTTAAAAGAAATTCAGATCTCCTCCCCTTCATCTAATTGGTCAGCCAATATTTCTTAAGTATCATAACTGCGTGACAGGCACTGTACTGGGATCTGAGAAGACAAGTTTTAAAAATAAACAAAAGCATTCCTGCTCCCAAGGAGCTTACATTCTCATCTGTGCAACCAAGAGGGCATGTCTTCCAATTTGGTTCAAGAGAACAGAACTTCTCAAAATTATTTGTATTTTAATACTTATGGATGAGTGCTTTTTGTTTTTCTTTTAAATTGCATCTTAAAAATTAAAACTTTCTTTGGAAACAAGCGTCATGTTTATAATGGAAGACAGTTGGGAAATATGTTTCAATTTCTCAAAGTTCATTTTCTGGCTAACTTTCTGAATCCCTATTCTACAAAGTAAGTATGCTTGTAATGTATTTTGAACTCAGATAATTCTCTGTTGACATGATTACTGGCAGTTTCTAAAACATAAGACTTGGCAACGTAGTCAACTATCAAGTATTTATTATATATGAAAAATTAGCTTGACCCTAGTACAAAGCAGTAGGGCATGCAAGAAGAAGGTAGTCTTTTCACTACTGTATTTGTGATACTGATAAAGTCCTGAGCAGACCTAAATATAATTTTGACCTCCAAGTTATCAGAGTTAGAGAGAGAGAGAGAGACAGATTTGGGAAAATTGGAGAGTACAGTCTGCTATCTGCTCACCACTGTGTTAAGCAGTGTATAAATTACAGTAGCTGGCTGCATGGAAGTTATTAACTTTTTTCTTAAAATATCTTTGAAGGCAACCTTCCTTATTAACTTTTCTCCAGATTGTAATGTAGGTTGGTCCATTTTAATTTTTAAAATGCAGTTTTACCAAACATTATAACCCCTCTTCCAGAAGAATAGAGAGTTCTTTCACAAAGTTTATGTACAATAAAAGTATTTCCGTATACATACTTTAAATATAATGGGTCTTCCTCTCTAACCTTAAGGGTGAATTGCAGCTTGAGGTTTTCCTTGTTTATTGGAAAATATTTTGACCTTGTCTAAGTTAAAATTTGGAAACCTTTAAATTTCAGGTTGACTTATCAAAGGATCTTCCTCACTGGAACAAACTGAAATCAGATGAGAAGTATTTCATCTCTCACATCTTGGCTTTTTTTGCAGCCAGTGATGGAATAGTCAATGAGAATTTGGTAAGACTGATTTTCTTTACTTTGGTTAATACTCAATAACTGTTTGATGATTATAGTAAAATAACTTCATATTGATACTGAAAATAGTATCTGGAAAGGTAAGATCAGTAAAACTGAAGTTATGGAAGGATCCTAAAATATTGAAGCAAAAGATGCCTCGCCTTCATTTGACAAACATAATGGATTGGCTGTAATAATTTTCACTAATTAGAAATACCTCTTTCAATTATACACAATTAACAAAAACCATCTTCTTGGCCAGTTCATGATAGGACAAGCTTAATGGAGAATATTTGGCTAATGATTTTGATATTCAGTTTCTATTTGTCTTGATAACTAATATTTTATGGGCTTTCATTAAATTTATTCTTCCTGTTTTTCCTTAGGTGGAACGCTTTAGTCAGGAGGTGCAGGTCCCAGAGGCGCGCTGTTTCTATGGCTTTCAAATTCTTATTGAGAACATTCATTCAGAGATGTATAGTTTGCTAATAGATACCTATATCAAAGACCCCCAAAAGAGGTATGTTGGGATTTTCATCAGCCTTTTAAATTTATTTATAGATATTTACTACATTTATATGTTTATAGTCAGTCAGTGAATAACATCTATTTTCCACCCACATTAAGTGATGAATTAAGAGTCTTTTAGCCATTTGAATTTAGGTGTACCAGTCTTAACGTTCATTGTCTGTGTGTTTATCTTATGTTGAACGTTGTGATTGTAAGTTTTAGAAAGTGTGTTTAAAGAAACTATCCTATTTAGAAATCTTTGGTCACAAATACCTTGTCAGATGATACCTATTTCATTGTCATTTCAAGGTTTGCTATAGTTGTTTGCTTTTAGTGATCATTCTGCAGTGCTGAAAAACTGCATATGTATTGTTTATAGAATTGAAAGTTCAATAATTATTCTTGGTTAAGCGTTGAAAATTTTGTCTGATAAAGAAAACTAGGTAGTAAAGTAAGACATTATACCAGTTATTATTTTGGTTTTACAGGGAGTTCTTATTCAATGCAGTTGAAACAATGCCATGTGTTAAGAGGAAAGCAGATTGGGCCTTGAAATGGATAGCAGACAGAAAATCCACATTTGGTATGTTGCTTTAATTTACATATATTCTTATTGGATTTCGCCAATGTAGAGCTATTTAATGTAGTATGGCTTTAGATGGAATCACTGTTAACCTCATTGGGTCTTAGGATTAAATTTATTGATGTCTAATATCAATTCCATTCCTATAAAAAATAAAATTTATTCTGAATAATCAACAATGATATTTGGTTCAAGGAAAATGAGTCTTAAATTTAGAATGGAAACATGAGATATAGCAGCCTATTAGAAACTAGAGTAAACCAATCTAATTTTATTGGTAAGCTGCAAGACTAAAGGTTAAACAGACATTAATGCAGACAGAGAGATAACTAAGAGTTAGTGCAACAGAATCTGATCAAGAGTTTCCTAGTCAGCTACGATTTTAGAACTATTTTCAGTAATATTTTGTACCTTTATTGACTCAAAGCAGGTCAAAATTTCAGCCTCCTGCAGGATTGTAAATTATTAAACCATGGAATAATTGACTTCAAAGGAACCGTAGAGGTCCCTTTCCCTAACCCCAACACAAAACATAAATCCCATCTATAACATTCTTGGCGGTGGTGAATCAGATAGTAAATAATCAGAGTTATATTTATCTTTGGTAGATAGAGGAAAGAGAAGTAAATCTTTGGGAAAAAACAAATTTTATTGGATACTATGATGATGAAACAAAATAGAGGGGAAAGAGAGAGAAAAGAGAGGAAGACTATTTTTTCCTTTGCTACTATTGGGAAAATATGGTTAGCATTCAAGAAATGTTTGTTGAATTGCTTTCCTGTAGCTAGGACAAACCCTGCACTGAGGGCTCTGTTTCAAGGAGAAGGAAGGGCCTCTGGAAGGAGGTAGAAAAGGAGAGAAGAATGAAAAGTCACATGGGCCCATTGATGCCAAAGTTCTTTAAATGCTCCCTTTCGTAAGTTACATGAAATTGCATAAAACCCATAATAATATGAAAGAGATTGGCTTAACTATGTACAGTAGGAAAGACAGAGTGAAAACTACACATTTCCCAGATTACAACACACAGTCGGATTCAACACAATGAGCTGGATAGAATTGAAGAGGATGAAGAAAGCGAGCCAAGCCCCATTTGGGAACTTTGGTGGTAATTTGTCTTCAAATACTGCTTATTGTCACCAAGGCCTATCTTTATCAACATTATTATTTTTCCAGTGGTGTTACAGAGCTATGAATCATGGAATATTGTGATTTCAGAAAAATCAAAGTTTTGATGATCCAAAGGACAATGGGAAGATGCATGGTAGATCTGAGTAGACTACCACATACTGCCAACAGTAATGTAAACAGTCCTAACTTCACCAACTTTTAATAGAAATGTGAACACTTCTCAAATGTAAACACATTAAAAAGGAACAGAAGGATGTATATGATAGGAAAAAGATATGGATTAGTTGTGTATCAGGAGCAAAGGATAAGAGAAAATGAGAGCTGCAACAGGAACTGTGAAATATGGAAGTAACTGGGAAGACCTCCAGTGATTTGGGTGGAAGATTTATGGAAGATTTTTGTAACCACATGGACAAGAATCACATAGGATGAGAGAGCATGGAGGCGTGATTTGTAGTAGTGGAAGGAGCATCTACACATGAGATCATTGAAGTGTCAATAAATATAATCAGACACATATGTGCTTTTAAAATCAGATTTCTTATTTGTTAGCTAAAGTTGTCTAAATTATTTCAGAAGATATTATACTAAGATATTCTACCTATACTTCTGAGAGGCAGCAAGACATAACGGATAGAGTGGTGACCTTGGAGTTAGGAAAACCTAGATTGAGCTCTTGCCTCTAACACCTGTTAACTATGTCATGGTCAAATCAGCTTAACTCTCTGAGACTGTTTTCCTCATCTTTAAAATGGAAGTGATAGCATCCATACTGTCTATATCACAGGTCTTCTCGATTCTCACAAAGCTCAAATAAGATGTGAAAAGATCTTTCTAAATATTAAAGTCTGCTATAAAAATTATTTGTTTTCTACTTATCTGTAAATGATCCATCACATTATGATAAGGATAGGGACTGTACTTATGATATTTTCGGTGTAGGGAATCCCAGATGAAACTCCCTCAACCAATTTAGGTTGGCACCTTCTGTGCAACTGGAAAGTCTCAGAAAGTTGCCCAGAGTTGACGCCCAGTGTGGGGGAGCCAGATTATAATGTAATTGGGAAATGTTTAACAAAATAAGTAAATATACAGTGTAACATGGATAATATTAATTTGTGATTTTCCAAGTCAGTGAGCCACCCTTTCTATTTGACCTTGACACCCCTGGCATAGAGCAGTTAGAGTTTAAGTGGCTTGCCAAGGGTCATTCAGCCAGTCTGTGCCAGAGGCTCTGTATCCACTATACCACGCTGCTTCTATAAAGGCTGGTGATAATCTTTTAATATTAAGCTCTCAGCACATTATATCCCACATTGTGTATAAAAATAATTACAACTAAAGACAAGATTTTCTTATAAAAAAAGATGACACCATGATGGCACATCAACCAAAGGCACATTTTGATTTTCATTAGGTTTTGTTAGCACATAGCAAGTAGACTAAAGGTAGCTCTTGTTTATTTTTAATTGCAGAGTGAACTTTAAATGAAAATTATGTCTGTAAAACAAAAATACCAAATTGAATGTTTATTTGCAGGTAATACAAATGAAACAATGCCTGCCCTCAAGGAGCTTACATTCTATTAGGGAAAACAATGTGTAGATATATAATTATTCAAAAAAATAATAAAATACAGGGTAATAGGAGTAGGCTCTGGAAGCTGTGGAGGATCAGATAATATTTCATAAGGAAAGTGGTGGTTGATTTGAGTCTAGAAGGAAATAAGGGCTTCTAAGAAATGGAGGTGAGAAGAAAGGACATTCAAAAACTAATGGTATAAAATGCCTGGAAGTACACCTGCCAAAACAAACCCAGGAACTATATAAACAAAATTAAAAAAACTTATTATACAAATAAAATTAGATTTAAATAATTGGAGAAATATTAATTGTTCATGGGTAGGCAGGCCAATATAATAAAAATGACAGTTTTCCCCAATCTGAGTTATATATTCAATGCCATCCCAATTAAATTACCAAAAAATTATTTTACTGAATTAGAAAAAAATAATAGCAAAATTCATTTGGAAGAACAGAAAGTCAAGAATATCAAAGGAAGTAATGGAAAAAAATGTTAAAGAAGGAGGTTTAGCAGTACCAGATCTTAAATTATATTCTAAAGCAGTAATTATCAAAACTATCTGGTACTGGCTAAGAAATAGAAAGGTAGATCAATGGAACAGAGTAGAACATACAATTTACAGCAGCAGTTAAATATAATAACCTTGTATTTGACAAGTGTAAAGGCTTAAGATTTGGGAATAAGAATTCATTATTTGGTGAAAATTGTTGGGAAAACTGGAAAGCAGTATGGCAGAAACTGGGCATAAACCAGTATCTTACACCATTTACCAAGATAAGGTCAAAATGGATACATGACCTAGATATAAGAGAGATATCACAAGAAAATTAGAACATGGATATTACTGATATTACTTATCAGACTTATGGATAGGGGAACAATTTATTAATAAACAAGAGAGAGAAGGAGAGCAGAGTGAGATATAAGATGGATAATTTCAATTACATTAAGTTAGTTTTTGTACAAATAAAACAAATGTAGCCAAGATCAAAAGGAAAGCAGAAAACTGGGGGAAAATTTTATAGATGGTTTCTCAGATAAAGGTCCTGTCTTTCAAATACGTGAAGAACTTTGTCAAATCTATAAGAATAGGAGTCATTCCCCAGCTGATATATGGTCAAAGGATATGGACAGGAAGTTTTACAATGAAGAAGTCAAAACAATTTATAGTCATATGAAAAAATGCTCTAAATCATTATTGATTAGGAAAATGAAACTTAACAATCTTGAGATATCTTTTACACTTACCAGATTGGCTAAAATAATTGAAGGGGAAAGTGACAAATGTTGGAGGGGATGTGAAAAAAATGGGACACTAATTCATTTTTGGTGGAATTGTAAACTGATCCAGTTATTTTGGAAAGCAATGTGGAATTATGCCCAAAGAGTTATTAAACTGCCTACATTCTTTGATTCAGCAATACCACTACTAGGTTTATTTCCAAAGATGACTAGGGAAAAAGGAAAAGAGCCTCTATGTTCTAAAATGTTTATAGCAGCTCTCCTTGTGGTGGCAAAGGACTGGAAATTGCAAGGATGCCTATCATTTGGGGAATGGCTGAACAAGTTGTGGTTTACGATTATGGTGGAATACTACAGTACTATAAGAAACGATAAGCTCGGAGGCAGCTAGGTGGCACAATGGACAAAGCACTGGCCCTGGAGTTAGGAGGACCAGAGTTCAAATTTGACCTCACACACTTGACACCTACTAGCTGTGTGACCCTGGGAAAGTCACTTAACCCCATTGCCTAGCAAAAAAACCAACAAACAAACAAAAAAACAACACTGATAAGCTCAGTGATCTTAGAAAAACATGGAAAGATTTGCATGAAGTAATGAAGGGCAAAATGAGTAGAATGAAGAAGACATTGGAAACAGTAACAGCAATATTATTTTAAGAACGATTTTGAGAAAATAATTTATAAATTATAAATACCCAAGTTAACTATTATAAATACCCAAATTAACCGTAAAGTGTATGTGAAGAAAAATGCTATCTGCATCTAGAGAAAGAACTGATAAATGGAAGTATGTATAGAATAATTTCAATAAGGCCAGGAGGTGGGAGGGAGAGGAAAGGGGAGAAAATGAGGGAAAAAAAAAAGAAATATACACGATAACTTTGCATATTTGAAGGAAATAGCAAATTGCACATGGTGGATTTGCGATTTCGTGTGCAATCATCTTTTTTGTTGTGCTGTGCTGTAGAAATGCTTGTTTTGTTCCATGAATTAAAATAAATTTTTAAAAAATGCCTAATGGCAAATGCTTTTGGCTAGAATGTATCTTCCTGTTTTATGCTTTGGCTGATGTACTATCAGAAAATCATTGAACAGGATTATTTCAGTTCTATCTTATAAGGAATTTTGCATTTTAGTCTATTTAAAGTGAATACATGTTATGTAACAGGAGAAAGAGTGGTTGCATTTGCTGCTGTGGAAGGGATTTTCTTCTCGGGCTCTTTTGCTGCTATATTCTGGCTTAAGAAGAGAGGTCTTATGCCTGGACTCACTTTCTCCAATGAACTCATCAGCAGAGATGAGGTAAGGTATGAATTCTAATTGTGATGTGTAAGATTATTCATGAAATCCATTTCTTATTTTTCTTTGTCTTAAAAAAATGCTCATTGTAACTCAGAATGAAAAAGGAAGGTTCAAATGTTTTTCAGGATAGTTATTCATCTTTTGCAAAGAAAAATGGTTCCCTGGACTAACATTTTGGAATTGGTACCCCAAAGAGAACCTCCAGATACAGACCATGTGAGAATGTTGTCTCAGTGTTGCATGACCCTCTCAGTTACAATTAATAGAAAAATTAAAGTAGTATTTGGCACTCTTGATGTATTTTTAAGGTCATTTACATTTTTTCCTAAGGAAATCAGGGAAATGTCAAGTGTTATTTGAAAACCTCTTTTATTATACAACAGGCCCTTGGTATCTATGAGAGGATACATTGCAAAGGCCTTTGGAAGAATATTATATGGTATTGATGATAATAGGAGAGGAATACATATACATATACACATATGTATAATAGTGTCCCATTTCTCTTTCTTACTTGCTTTCTCTTAGTAATGGAAGAAAAATTAGATGTGAAGTTGCTAGATTGAACTGAACTAGCCACAACTTGGACCACTTAGGAAGAGCTGAAAGAACCTGAGGTTTTCAACCTTTCGGATGAGACCTAATATTTTAACTAGTATGTTGATAGCCTATGTCAGTCCTGGGTAAAAATGAGGCAGTGCTTTTTTCCATTGTCCAACTTATTGTGCTTTTGGGATGCATTAAGAGAAGTAGACTGTCCAGAAGGAGGGTGATGATAGCTCCACTCTATAGTACATTGCCTTCATCAAACCACGTCTGAAGTGTTCTGTCAGTTTTGGGCATCAAATTTTAGGAAGATTAATAAACTGAGGAGTATACCAGGGAGGGTGACTAAAGCTTAAGATCGTATTTGAAATTCGTTGAAAGGACTGGGGACATGTAACCTGGAAAAGAGAAGACTAGGGAGCTTGCATTAAGACTGCTTAGCTTTCTTTAAGTATTTGAAGGGTTATATAGAAAAAGGATTACACTTGTTTGGCTTCAGAGGGAAAACCTGGGAGCAATGGATAGACATTGTAAAGAGGCCAACTTAGGAAAAACATCCCAGAGCTATCCAGGAATGAGTGGGCTGCCTCCAGTAGTAATTGGGTGCCCATTTCTTTGAGGTCCTGCTCTGTCTCCTTTACTGGATCCTCTCCCAGATTATACCCTCTAACTATACTATTCTCAGGATTCTGTCTTGGGCTTTCTGGTCTTCTCCTTCTATACTGTTTCACTTGGTGATCTTATTAGCCCCCATGGATTTAATTACCTTCACTATGCTGATGATTCTTACAGCTTTTGTCTCCAGCTTCTCTACTGACTTCTGATTTCACATTTCCAACTCCCTTTCAGATATCTCCAACTGGATGTCCAGTAGGCATCTTAAACTAAATATGTCCAAAACAGAATTCATTATATTTTCCCTTAAACTCTCCCCCCTCTCCCCTCCTACCTCCTGTTACTGTAGAGAGTGACACTATCCTTCCAAGTCCATCAGGCTCACAACCTAGCTATCATCCTAGATTCCTCTTTCATTCCCATATCCAATGTGTTACCAAGGCCTGTCGATTTCACCTTTGCAACATCTCTAGAATATAAAATGCCTTTTCTCCTCTGACACTGTCATCAGTCTAATACAGATCCTTATCATCACATACCTCACCTATTGCAGTAACCTGCTGGTGGATTTGTCTGCCTCAAGTCTCTCCCCACTCCAGTCTATCCTTCATTCAGCCTTCAAAGTGATTTTCCTAAAGCTCCCTGGTTGTGGCAGATCCTCGTTCCGTAAGCTCCATTGGCTCCCTGTCCACCTCCAGGATCAAATCCAACATGTTCTGTTTAGCATTTAAAGCCTTTCATAACCCTCCCCCTTCCCAACTCTCCTCTACTATTTAAGTCTTCTTACACCTTACTCCCTACCATTCTGATCCAGTGACACTGGTTTCCTGGCTATTCCAGGAACAAGACACTCCATTGCTTAGCTCCTGGTGTTCTCTCTGTCTGTCCCCCATGCCTGAAGTGTTTTCCTTTCTCATCTCTGCCTACTGGCTTCCTTGACTCCCTTCAAGTCCCAACTAAAATCTCACTTTGTTCAAGAAGTCTTTCCCCAACTCTTATTAATTTTAATGCCTTCCCTTTTAAAATTATTTCCTGTTTATCTTTATATAGCTTGTTTGTACATATATGTTTGCATGTTGTTGTGAGCTCCTTGATGGCAGGGGCTATCTTTTGCCTCTTAGTGATTGTCACAGTGGCTGGCACATAATAAGAGTTTATTGACTGACGGACTAAGGTCTTCATTTAGATGCATGTTGTAGAGGGGATTATTGGTCAGGTATGTTAGGCTAAATAGCTTCTAAAGATAGAGATTTCTTCTTGCTCTTCAGACATTTAGCGGCTTGTTATCTTTAGTCTCTCCTAAGTATTGCCTCATACAAGACTTTTCCTTTAAATTTTTCCTTCCTTCTTCCATATCTTTACCAAAACTCCTATTCTCTGTGTGCTCAGATAAATGTTAACCTGATATCTTAGCGGACAGTTATTCACACCTTAGTATGAATTCACACAATCCCTTATTGATGAAATATGTCTGGAAGGTTTTTTTTGGGGGGGTGGGGCTAGCTTTCAAATGTTACTTGCTTATTCCTGCCAACACCCTGTATACCTTATTAATTGTTTTCCCGAGAGTAAAATATGTGGAATATGCAATCAGCTTTGTAAAAAGGACCTTTAGCTTTCTTTATCGCCAGGTAGAACAAGGTGTTTGTTTACAACATAAATTTCCTTGTAATTTCATCAACATTTCCAGAATCTAAGGTAAGAGTGGGGGAGGAAAATTGAACACTACTAATAACAAAAATTACTAAATTATGGGGAATATCCCCTGCCTATCTTTATTTACCCAGCCCATTGTCTTATCTTTATTTAATAAGAAGTTAAATTACATAATCCATACCCTTTTCAGTGATATCTTATAAAATTAAAACTGCAAGAAAGAAAACAACTTTATTCAGCCCTACCAATATTTGTTATTTTTAACAATCCCATTTCCAAATTGCTCCCTCAGGTGCACTGGGCTTATTCTTACCATATATGATGTTTAAGGAATAGGAAAACCATATTGATTTTGAACTGCACTACTGCAGGTGACCTTTGCCTAAGTATATATGGAAGCATTATTGCTGAGCAAAGATTATAAAAACATTGCAAGAAGAATAGTTAAACTGTTTAAGGGGACAGATTTTTTTTTTAATGGCCCTAAGTATCTATTCACATACAAACGATAGAAAATATTTTTGCACTTATGCACTTTTGCACTTTGCACTTAAGCAACTCCTGTATGGGGCTTATAGGAAGTAGAATTTTTGTCATCTTGGTCTAGTAATTTTATATACTTAAAAGTAATAAAATTGCAATGGTTTCAAACTATTATGTAGACATTTTCATAAAATCAGACAGACCTTGCCCTAGTTTATGAAGTTTCGTGAATTGTATTGTCTGGATATTTATTCATTATTCTTTCTTCTTGTGTTTCTTCTGTGTTAACATAAATATTTCTGTGTTAGATAGAAGTTTCTTGAGATCTTGGAATGTGCCTTTTGAAAAAAAAAACAAACTTGTTCCATATAACATACCATACTATGTGAAAATAACTTTTGGATTTTGATTTTTTTTTCCCCCACTGTTTCTCAGGGTCTTCATTGTGACTTTGCTTGTTTAATGTTTCATTACTTAGTGAATAAGCCTTCAGAAGAAAGGGTCAAAGAGATCATCATCAATGCTGTTGAAATAGAACAGGTAAACAGGGAAGCCTTTATACAGTTTCGCCATAACATGTGAGGAGTACTGCTTGCTGATACAGCATTAATAATTTGGCACTCTTATCCTATATACCTAATTCTAATACAGAAGCAGCAGAGAAATGCATTTTTGCAGCTTTACTTAAGAGCTGAATCTAAACTTGCAGGGTTTTTTCCCCCTCTCCTTAATTATGCTTTATACTTACCCCCAAGTTCCCAATGTCCTTTAATTTTCGTTCTCTTTTATTTTCTTATGGACTTTCTCACCTTCATATTTCTCTGCGTCCTGTCCTTGACACCTTGAGTGACCAAAATCTTTGTAGATTCTAGTTCATAATAACAAAAAGGGAATCCTAACAAAAACAGTATAGGAAACAGCAGCTCCCTTTTCCTGTCTCATAGCAGGAGCCTAATCAGCCCTAAGATCATAGCAAAATACTTTTCAAAAATAATATTGTTGTGTAAGATAGTTATGAAATACTTTGTTCTTAGGAGGATGATGTTACACCATAAGAAACTGATTTGATTCATTCTTTCATGGAAATACACATTGACTTATTTTTATATTATTATGTATTATTATATGATATTGTCATATTATACTATTATTATTACAATAAAGTCCATTATTAAAATAATGGACTTTCCTTTAAACAATATATATTTCCTATAAAAATACTTTCTGATCAGCACATAGCCAGTTATTTAATGTTATTAATATCTGAGTGTGCCCCTCTTTTTGTTTTGTTTTTTTTCCCTAGGAGTTTTTAACTGACGCCTTACCAGTTGGTTTAATTGGCATTAATTGCACTTTGATGAAACAGTATATTGAGTTCGTAGCAGACAGATTGCTTGTGGAGCTTGGGTTCTCAAAGGTAAAGTGTTTTTAAAAATGGGAAAAACAGCAATTATTAATTGGTAAGGCCCTCTGGTCAAGTAAGGTCTCTTAAAATTTTTACTTCACAACAGAGAAGGTAATAGTGAATTGTGTTATCCCCAAAATATGTGTGACAGGTACACAGATGTAATTTTTCCAAAATCTCCTATAGTAACAAAAGGAAATTCTCAGCACTGAACTATTCAGAAAAATTAATGTTGTTGATAACAAGCATAATCCAATACTTAGTAATATATTTGGCTTTAGCTAACAGGGTTATCTTTTAATAATTTCACCTAAACAAGTCAAACATATATATGTTGTATTTTTCTAACTTCTTACCGTGGACAAATGCCACTGACCTTGAGTTAGTATGTAACTGGTCCACATTCACAAAGTGTGTATGAATGTGCACACACATGTTTGTTAGAAGGCCCTCAAGATGCAGAGTCTTATTTAAGCTAACAAATGATTGTCTTGTGGATAGACTCAACTACAAATAGATCTCTTATCAATGAATTTTGATTTTAAACTTCGCTCCAGGTTTGGTCTTCAGCTTAAATAGACCTGAGGTTCATGGTTGCAGGCAGTGCATTGGTTGTCATTCTTTTGCAGTTTTAGCTTTTGTTTGTCTGGTATGAAACTTTGACATTTCAGATAGGCTGAAGTCTCCTGTCTTTGACTCAGCAACTCAGTGGGTGGTGCATGAACCTTCCTTTGGAGCATTCACAGCATATATCTGTTTTGCCTGTTCTGGGTATGGTTGTCCTATTTCAATGTCACAGTATCACATAGTCACATAATTTAAGACTTGGAAGAGACTCAAGCAGCCAGCTGGGTGGATCCCCACCATAACTTACCTGCGTGTTCCTTCCACTTCTGCCTGAAGACTTCCTAAAGAGGGGAATGTGTCCTATGGTTGCTTTGACATAGTGGTCTCTTTTCATTGTCTCTTTCCATAGCCTGTTGCTGATACTGATTATTGCTAGACTTTTTAGTTTCTAAGAATATAATGGCCTGCAATTCTGTGTTAATATTGCTAATAGTCATGTTAATGGAGCTATTAAACGATCTTGATCATTTCTGTAGCAAATTTGCAGAACCAGCTATAAATTGTAGGGTGTTTTTTTTGGTTGGCATTACATTTTAAGGCTTCTGCTGAACTTGATTTGGCTTTCTGTTTCTTGGCATATCAGTGCATTGCTAGACACTAAACAACTAAGGTGGCAGAATTCAATATTTGGTTTTCTTTCAGTTACTTCACCTCTGTGTACCTCCATTTTCCTGTTTTTAAAATAGGAGTTTTTTTTGTATTTCTGTTAATGAAAAGAGTTGAAGGGGGAGAACAAAATTAAATAGTTTCTGCAAGTCTTGACTGAAAGCTCCATATTTCTTTATTCATATAAATAAAAGTATTATAAGCTTCTGTAAGGTGAAAATTTTGTAGGCCAATGGTTTAACTTCTCTACATGACAAAGTAGACATCAATAATGGAAAGCTTCATGGCATGTTAGGGCAGATTTCTTGAGAGATGAAATTTTGCTTCTTCAGAATCTCTAATGCATTTTTTTTTTCAGGTTTTTCAGTCAGATAATCCCTTTGATTTCATGGAAAATATTTCTCTGGAAGGGAAAACAAATTTTTTTGAAAAAAGGGTCTCAGAATACCAGCGTTTTGCAGTTATGGCAGAAACAACAGACAATGTCTTCACCTTGGATGCAGATTTTTAATCCAATTTTCTAGATGCTCCTCCTTTTTGGTAAATGACAGTCTTCTTTTCTCTCCATTTTTCTCCAGTCCTAGTTGTCAAAAGAAAAGCCCAAATAGAGTTCCAATAAAGTAAAAAGTGCTGTAATTTTCCTTTTAAAAATCTAAGTCTACCTTAGATTCTTTTATTTGGGTTCATGGAGAAATAGGACTACATTGTTAACAATATGTTTTTTGAGAATATGTTTTTTGAGATTTTATTAATTTTGTGGTAAATAGGGTAGCACTGGTAGTGATGGCTATAGTAATGCATTAGTGGGGGTGGGAGGGAGTCTGTCCTCCCTACAAAGTTTTGGTGAATTAAAGAATATTTCCTTCTTTCTACTCTTCTTCTCCAAGATAATAGACCCAGAAATCTGTGCTAACATGTAATAGTTGGAGAAAGTCCTCGATATTTTTAATGTTTAAGGAAAGACAATTATGATTTTCCAGAGAAGATGGGGATTGTTAGCAAGGGAGTATATTCCTTTTACAAACATGAGATAGACATTCTTTTTTTTGTTGTCATTTTTTGTTTTTTGTTTTTAGGCAGTTGGGATTAAGTGACTTGCTAGTAAGTGTCAAGTGTTTGGTCTAGGCCGGATTTGAACTCAGGTCCTCCTGACTTCAGGGCCAGTGCTCTATCCACTGTGCCACCTAGCTGCCCTGAGATAGACATTCTTAGGAAGATTTGCATTGATTATCTTTGGAGAAGAGCTGAAAACAAGTGATCCAATGATGGGCAAGCAAAGTTGGGCAAAACTAAAAATCTTTTAGAAATCATGTTATATGATGATCCAGCACTAGATGATACAGTGCTAGAATTGGGATCAGAAGACCAGAGTTCAAATCCTACCTCAAATACTAACTCTGTGACATTGGGCAAGTCACTTAACTTCTGTCTGCCTCAGTTTCCTTGTCTGTAAAATAGGAAAAATAATGGTACTTGCCTCCTTAGGGTTGTTGTGAGGATAAAATGAGATATTTATAAAGTACTTTGCAAACCTTAAAGCACTATATAAATGCTAGTTATTGTTATTATTTTTTTATTAATTTATTTTGAATGATCAACAATTGCTTCATAAGCTTTTGAGTTTAAAATTTTTCTCCCCCTCCTTCCCTACCTCCCTCTCTTAGACATTGTGCAGTCTGATATAGGCTATACATATACATTCCTATTAAAACATTTTCACATTAGTGATATTGTAAGTGTTATTATTTTTAAGTAGAGAAAAGATACAGATGCAGATCCAGGAAATCTGGAATATGCTAAGTAAGAAAAGAGTTGTAGGATAGAAATAGAGAGAAAATGGGATTCTTAGTAGGTAATATTAGAGAATATTCAAGGTGCAGGCCAAATGCTACCTCCTCCATGAAGCTTCCCTCATGTCTTCCTCCACACTGTAACTAGAAGTGATATTATATATTATTTATATGCATGGCTTAAATCTTTTCCTAGATTATAAGTTCTTTGGGGGTAGAGGCTTTGATTTATTTATCTTTGTGTTTTCCCCAGAACCTAACGTGATGTCTTATACATGATAAGCGTTCTTGGTAAATCTTTCCTAAATGTTAAATGAGTTGTTACTGTTAGGACACCAGGTAAGATGGTGAGATAATTGACCCTGTAAGAAGCAGGTTGAACAAGAAGCCAAAAAGGAATGTTATCTGCTACCCAAACAGAAAAGGGCCTTGTTCTTCATCTTGGCTTAGGACTAGCGTGTACTAAATAGAGGAAAAGCTCAGGGACTCAAATAAGATTCTGCAGTCTAAACTTAGATTAATGGCTGGAAGCACCTGAAAAGGAATATTTAATGCTTTTAAAAGTGTTCCAGGTTAACAGAGTAGTGTGGGCCAGGTGTATATATGCGTGTACCTCAGCTGTATGCCATTTGTATAACCATACTATAGTAAATGCTCTTAGTGTGCTTGAAACTATGTTAAACTGCTGAGGGAGAAAGAATGCCATGACGGCTGGGGTGGAGGAGGGCCGGTGCCTCTGAGCAGACCTTTGACAGATAATCTTCTCCCCTCTCCATCCTTTTACCTTCAGGTGGTAGCAGCAAAGCAAAGGAAGCAGAGATCCAGCAAGCAGCGGGACAGAGGATATATCATCTTTTGTTTCTTCTCATGAGTACTTTTTAAAAGTGCCTGGGAAAAGCAGGCTGCATTTTGTCAGTTTCCTAGTTTACAGTCTTCAGAATTTGTTTTCAGGCAAATTCTTGGTTTCTTGGTTTCTTGATGGTCGTCTGTAAAGCTTATTTGTACTAGATTGGGGAAATTATTTAGCTATTGTAGAAGGTAGAGTTCGTTCATAGCTATATTGAAATGTTGAAAACAGTAATTTTATCAAATGAAAAACTTTCTACATCAGATTTTTTTTCCTTGTTCAATTTGTAGAGATTGTTCTTTGTATTTATGGGACAGTTGCATCATTTTATATCAAGTCTGTTGAGGTCTGACTTTGTTTTGTCTTGTTCCATCACTAAACTTAGGCAACATATACTTTTAGAATAATATCTGTACTTTCTGGAGCAAAAATTTCAAGGGCATATGTCTCTAGAATGAGATGTAATTTTAACTAGAAATAGCTTGCATGATTTCAGAATGAAGGAAGGGAAAGTTCTAAGTCCTTTGTATTAAATTCAGATCCTTCTGTTATATTTGTAAATGCCTTAATGTCAACCATATTTTTTATAGCAGCAATAAACTACCAGTAAGAGGGCAGAGAAATCTCATACTGATTTTTAATATATTGGCTTACAATAAGAAGCATTCTACACTCCCTCTTCAGTGCTCCACTTTGCATGTGTGTTTTATTATGTTCATGACATTTTATTCTCAGTTCTTAAGGAACTTAAAAAAAAACAATTTATTTTGTAATTTACAACTTACTCTGTTATAGCCTAAGTATTTAAATTATGGTCATGATTAAAACACATTTTATTATTTGGTCCTATAAAATCTAGAATTATGGGACTGGGAGTTCTGCTTCCAGGAAAGTAGGATTTTGTTATGTTTATAAGATATAAAGAATTGAAAATAACTATTCCTACAATGTAGGAACCAATCCAGTCATGACCTAATGTTATGAGGTTTTTGCTATTCTCATTTAATAATGTCTAATTCTTGATTGTTTTGCCACCCCTTCCACCTCTATTAGGAGAAAAATGATTGCTAAGAAAACAGCAGTTTGCACACTGAAAAAAATTAGTAATCAGAATTTAGTGTTTTGTAGTATTGATAACATTACAGTGATGGCATTTTGAAATTTCAGTTGTATAGTTTCAGGCTAAATGTCAATCATTAATTTTTTTAAAATGCTGGTGACTCAGAAAACTGTTAATGGGAAATACAAATTGCTTCCACATGGTCATCAGTTTTCATTGAAGCCAAAATATCAGTACAGCTGCTATGCCATAGGTGTTTTAACTAAGGAGAGTAGATCGGTGCCTGACTCAAGAACTCACGCCAAAGCTGGCTGCCTTTCTTATAGGGTCATCCAGGGCCAGCTGGTAGTGGCTTCCAAACAGGAACATGTATAACTTGTTCTTGTAATCCTTTTAAATAATTATCTCCCAATTAGGGGTATGTAGATTGCCTATAGATTTGAAGGAAGAAAGGGTAGGATTATTGAAATCCTTATTGTACTTGCTCTAAGAAAATAGGGTATCAGCTTTAGTCGTATTGGTTTAATCCCTTTCAAAGAAAAATATAGATTCAGATGCTGTGAAATATTGGTAGCCTAAAGCTCTGTTTTAATAATATCTGAGTTGTCCAACATTTCACAGTATTTAGAAGGTACTCCCTGTGTACAGAGAATATGCTATTAGGCATTGTATACCTAAACCCCATGTTTTATTTTGTCTTTATATAAAGTATTTTGTATTCAATCAGTCAACTATTTATGTCCATAATTAAAGTTTTCCAAAGAACATGTTATGCTTTTTGGTCTGATTATTTTATAGTTTAATATGATTGAAATAAAATGCATCATAGCAACCTCAGTTTATGTGTTTTTAAGTAAGAATCTTCCTTAGGTCAAGAGTTCCTTTTCAAATGCAAGTTTTTTTTTCATAGTTCCTCATCAGAGGTGCATTCACTAGCTATTTGGGTAGTCAGGAACATAGAAACTTAGAATCAAAAACACCCCAGAATCCAAGAAGGAGTCTGACCCCCAAAGTTGTAATCTAGAAACTGAAACTGAAGATATGAGTAAACGAAAAGTACAGTCAAACCCAAGAATGAAATACCGTGCTCTGAGAGAAGCCCAACAGGTAAACTCAGAAGAAAGTTATTTTCAAAACAAGTCCAGGTTGAGTCTCACAGAAAAGAATGTCTTAACCACAAGAACTGCGAGAGTATCTAGGAGAAAATGAAGAGAAGCCTTTTCTATCCTTTGATCACTCATCTGTTAGGTGTTATATGTTGTGCTTTTGATGTTATAAATTTTTCTGAGTTCTCTATATATTTTGGATATCTAGACTTTCATCAGTGATATTTGATGCAATTTTTTTCTCAACACTTCCTCTTCTAATTCTGCCTTTGTTGATTTTTTTTTTCATGAAAAGCTTTTTCTATTCCATTCCAGCAAGCTTCAACAAGGTACAAATCAGATGTCATGTTATCCCTTGTTAAATTACAGGAATTTCCTATGAACCATCATGCACTGCATATATGAGTCTACTATTGATCTGCTGTTAGGCAAATACAACACTCATTTCTTCAGTTATGAGATGACAGTCACAGTTCTAATGAGTTATTTATGTTGATATAAAACCTGATATTCTGTGTATATCTGTGCTATAGAATAGAATTCTTGTTGGTAGCCTGCTGGGCAAAAGCTCCTGTTCTATATGTTCTTTGGTAATAGTCTTGTGAGGGTATCTCAGTTTTGAAGAGCTTGGATTGGGACAATCATTAACCCTTGGTCTAGCAAAGAGAGCATTGTACTCACATTTGATTTTGAATTCTGCTTTATATACCTGCTAGCTGTGCGACCCTGGACAAGTCATTTCTGTATGCTTCCATTTTCTCATTGACAAAATGAGCAAGGGTGGACTTGGTGACTTCTAAGATCCGTTTCAGGGATTCAGCTCTTCAAATTTTAATGGTATGCCGTGGGATATTCAGGTTATTCTTCTTGATGACTATCATAAAGCATGGTTATGGGTTTCTTTGTCTCAGGATAGATTTATGGTATTTTTCTGTGGGCAAGTTTACCGCCACATCCTTACCAGAACAAGAGAGCTGGGTGGAGTCAGGAAATGGAGCAAGAAACATTAAGGAGGGCCAGTGTCATTGGGGACCATTGTCATTGGATTGCAGAGTTTGGGAATGAGAGGGGGGGATAGTATGGTATAAGAAGACTGAAAAGGAAGGAAAAAGCCAGGTTATGAAGGGCTTTTAAAGCCAGATGGAGGATTTTTATGTCACCATGCTGAATGTGCTCCATCATCTCAACTTCCTTCCTAAAATATAATGGCTAGATTTAGATATGGTACTCCGATGCTTTAATGTTGTGGGGACTAGGGCCAAGTAAAGAGAGACTATCACCTCCCTTTTTTTGGAATTATATTTTTATTAATGAAATATTAATAATGCAATAGGATTTGTTTGTTTTTGATTGTCACATTACCTACCTTGCCTCATATCAAAAGGTTTAGCCTTATTAGAGAATAGAAGAGGATCCTAGAAGAGAGAGTAGTATGATGAAAATGGAGAAATGGAAGAACACAGAATCGCTCCTCTTGCTGTTGTTTTCCTCTGCCAATAGCTCAGAAAGAATAGAACAAAAATATTAAAGAATTCAAGACCATGAAAAGAAGATAATAAGAGGGCTTTATTATGAAGCATGCAGAACTAGGAGAACCATTTATATATAATTAAATTATATGATTAAAAGAAAACAGCTTTGGAAGATTAGAGCTGTAGTCGATGCAATGACTTCAGAAAATGATGATACCACATGCTTCCCACCTTTTTGGGGATAGGTGTGTTTGGTGTGTAATGAGAAAAAAGAAAGAAGAAATCATTAATGCTCTTTAAGATAAAATATACAGAAGAGAGAAGGAAGTTCAAAAGGGGATACAAATGGCAGTTCTATTACCGTGTTAAATTTCATTTTAAAATATCAAGTTACACATAATGTGTTTACTGTTTCATGTGCATACTTTTTTTTGTTATATATTTAAAATGTTCATGTCTATTGCTGTTAAATTTATTTGAAAAGAGCACCTTGCCAACCTTTCTAAGTTCGAGTCAGTAGGACCGGATGACTTACATCTATGGGTAACCTGGCTTGAGTAATGTCCTTGAAAAATCTGGCATGTCATTGTTGACCCAGAGCCAGTGATCTTTGAAGGATCATGGAGAATAAGTGTTGTGGGACTAGAGAAAGGCAAATTTTGTTTAGATTTTCCAGAAAGGGAAAGGAAGTCTACAAACAGATTGATGAACTTGATTCTTATTTTTGGCAAAGTTCTAGAATGAAAGGGTTGGTTAGTGAAAATCTAGAAAAGGAAATAATGGTTATTAAAGAGTCTGCAAAGCTTCATCAGGATAGGTCATGAAGACTAGCCTAATTCCTGTTTTTGACAGGGTTACAAGATTGGTAGATGCTGTTGTTTACTTATATTTTAGCAATATATTTGACCAGGTCATGGTATTCTTTGGCCAAGATGGAGGAATATAGGCAAGAACAATTAGTTGAATTTAAAACTGGTTTTATGACTATTGTTCTGTTGTTTCAGTCGTGTCTGACTCTTTGTGACCCCATTTTGGCAAAGACACTGGAGTGGTTTGCCGTTTCATTTTATAGATGAGGAACTAAGGCAAACAGAGTTAAGTGACTTGCCCAGGGTCACAAAAGCACTAGTGAGTGTTGGAGGCTGGATTTGACTCAGGAAGATGAGTCTTCCCGACTCTAGGCCTGGCACTCTATCCACATTGCTTTCTTAAAAAGCTGTAAAATTTTTGGAAAACCCAAAATGGGATCATGAAAAGTCAAACATGACTGAAACAATAACAACACCACCTGTGGGTCCAGGGAATGATAATCTAGATGTCAAGGGGACTGAAAATGATGCCATTCAAAAATCAGAGGAAGGAACCTGGAAAAAAGAAGACAATAGGGGCATGATAGCTTTGTATTTGAAGGACTTACCACTTAGGAGAAGGGTTAGACTGGTTCTGTTTGGTCTCAAAGGGCATATCTTGGATTGATTAGTGAAAGTTACTGGGAAGTGGCTAAGTAAAGACTTCTAAGACCACCACCACCACCACCAAGAAAAAGCTAACCCAAAGTGGAATGTGCTGCCTTGGGAGATATTGGTTCCCCTCACTAGAGTTCTTCAAACAAAGGCTAGATATTTGTTAGCTCTGTTGTAGAAGAGAAATTTTATCATTCTTTGTGCCTGGTTTCCATGTTTACATTTTCTTAGATCCAAAATGCAACCCAAGTTCCCAAGAATTAAAATTTTAATATCCATGCTTTCACTGGCCATAGCCACAACGCTGTAATCCTTGGGAGTTCTGAACTGAGGTGGGCTAAGTTAATTGAATTTCTCCACTGTCTGGCCTCAATATGGTGAGCTACCTGGGGTTGGGGGTAGTGCCAGGTTCCCTAAAGAGGGGAAAACCATCCCAGGTTGGAACAAGCTAAAGCTCCTAGGTCAATCACTAGTTGGAGTGGGTGTATCATATGCTGTTCTGAATTGACTCCTGTTTTTCCAAGTTCTTCATTATTTTTATGTTTAAGCTTACTAACATCCAACAGGTACTTCTGCAGTGCCCTCTCTATGACACAGTAAATACACATAACAAGTTAAATGTAAGGCCAGCACAGAAAACATACAAGTTCATGGCACATATCTGTTCCATGCATACCCTCCTACCCTTAGCTTCAGTGGATGCCCTGAGATACCCCAGAGATAACCATGAAACCTGCCTCCCGCTCTTGGTGTGTGGCACTCTAATGGCACTAACAGATGTAGGGATAAAAAGAATGCACCATGCTGGCGAAGAGATGACCTTTTACTTTTACTTCAGAATTTGCAGGAGTCAGAATTTCACTTAATAGCTGTGTGAGCCCAGGTGAGTCACAACCTCTGTCTAACTTAGTTTTCTCAACTGTAAAAGAGGGATAATGTATAATTAGTGATAAAATGTAATACTAATAATGCCTATTTCATAAGGTTCTTATGAGGATTCAATGAGACAGTATTTGCAAAGTGACTGTAAAGTGCATAGTGCTTGACATATAGTAGGCACTTAATAAATTTTTGTTCCTATCTTTCCCCTCTCCCTGACTGGTGTGGATACTCCTATTGGTTCAGGTCACAATCTCCTAATGACTCCTTAGATGGTTTTTGTGAGTCATTGTGGATCCAAATATTCATCACCTGATGACCAGCTTTAATGATTAATATCTCTAGATTTAGCTGATTGGGCTTTGGACAATAGATACATGCTCATTTCCCATATTTCTCCATGGTAGGACCTACCAGAACTTGAGTTCTGCTAGTGTAATTTTTGAAAACCCAAAGTCAGAGCCACACTATTATGAGACATCAGAAGACCTTAGTGGGGCTTTGGTTTCTTTGACCACTGAAACACACAGGTGATACTCAATCCCCCCCTGGAGGATACCCCTCTGGGTATCTTTAGGTAAAACAAGTATAAGCATCCAAATAGGGTGCTCACTTTAGCCTCTTTGCCTTCAGTAACTTTTCCCAATACCTCAGAGATGAGAAGAATGGGCTGAGTTTCCTGGAGGACCTACCTATTTCTAGAGCTAAGAATCAGATTACACGCTTTTAAAAAAAATTGCATTGGCATATTTTGTTTTTACATTGCCTAGACATCTCCTTGTATACTTCTTCCTCCCTCCCAGAGAACCATCCCATATGACAGATTTTTTTTTAAAGAAAAAAAAGG